CTATAACGAGCAGATTCTAGGTATCGATCAATAAGCGAAAGTTCTGGAGCTTTCAAAAAATCGGCTCAGGACTTTTTTACCATCCCAAGTATAATAACACATTATCGATCACCAACTGTGCCTTTAAGTGCAGCTCTCATAAATTAAATACAATCAAAACGCCTAATAATCAATACGTTTGGCCCACAAACTTCACATGTGTCCAAGTGACTGCTGGAATTTTTATGAAAAAGTGTTGTACAAAATCTTATTGGGGACACACGAACATGTTAGCGCTCACATATTAGGAAAAATATAACCTCAACACAAAAACCAATAATCTTGTCCAATATATACAGAAAAAAGGGAATCGCTCTGATACATGAGGGCCCAGAGAATCCATTTTCACATACAAAAACAATAAATAAACCGGTCCAGTCAATCTATTTATCTCATCCCCTTTTCGAGCTTGTCTGGATCCGATCAAACGGTACTTCATCACTGTCGGACAGCTTCCCGTAGCGAGACCAAAATGTCACTTGGGAGGTGTGCCGTTGACCTGAATTCGCAAACATATACATCTAATATTATAATTTAGTAGACCTGGCATACACAGTTGTCAGGCGGGGGGAGGCTTGAAACCGCACAGACTTGGTAACCATGAGTAGCATCAAGACCATCAAAAAGCACACATGATGTCTTTCTCGAGGTGATTAGCACGTATGCCAATGAGTCTGCAGCCACGACCAGTGTCGTCCGTTCTGGTGATTTCAAAATTTTCACAACCCTCCTTTCGCAGTTTATCGGTACGACCCCTTCTTCTTCTTCTCCCTAGCGTTAGTCCCGCGCAGTCGCAGGGTCCGCTGTCTTTGTCAGTCGTCGCCACTTTGCTCTGTCCAGGGCATCTTCTGCTGTGGCCGTGACTTCACTTAGGTCCTTCTTGATACGTCTCTCCACCTCTTCTTTGGGGCTCCTCGCGGTCGCTTGCCTTGCGCTTCGAAGTCCATTGCTGTTCTTATCGGATGATCCTGTGGCCTCCTTAGCACGTGCCCATACCATCGCAGACGCTGTTCCCTCACCTTCAGCTGGACAGGGCATGACCGCTCTGACATCCTCGTTTCTGACCCTGTCCAGTCGCGTCCAGCCGCAGGCCCCGGTACGACCTCCTTTATGAGCTATTTATCTGATTTTTAACACGTTGACGACATCGCGCGTTTTGGGTTTTTGCACCTCGTGGGACAAGGGCGCTTTTGCGAGCGCGGCCGTCACACCTCACACGCGTGAATTTCGAACGATAAACTTGGATGCTTCAAAGGTACGAAACCATTTCAGCAATATTTAATGCGTAGAAAGTAATCGAAGATATATAGCGAAATTTCGATCAAAAAACGTGAAATGGTAAAGAAAATTGGAATTCAAGCCCTTTTCTCTGTAGCGGATGCCAAAACTATTTTCGATGTGGATGTGTCAAATGAAACATATATCTTTCTATCCCTTTAGTTAGTATTTACTTTCACTACCTTTTCCCACTGACATGTTCATCAGAATAGGAAGAAAACGAGGGATGAACCGAGCTGCCAATTTCGCTGTGCTTAAAAAACTTCTGCTAAACTGGAGCATATTTGATCACCTCGTGACCCATGTCGTTTACAGTTATGTTATGTTCTGATCCATAGAATGGAGGCAAGCAAATTGGGAAGAATCCCCGCATACGCCGTCTCACTTTGCGCACCCTCGTGGGACATTGAGACGCGTTAACGCGTCTCAATTTCCTCAATGTGTTAACATATTGTTATAGTTGATATATGGGCCGGCATGGCCATAGAAAGAGGTGGTGTTTACCAAAAATTTACGACGCGCACTTTACACCCGCTCATGTCAGGATGAAAATCGAGGCGGCATGAAATTTTGCTAATTCAAAGCAACACCGCCAGCGGAAGTCGTGTCGAAGAATCTATTCAGTGGGGTGGGTTGGAATAGCCCACGTTTAGCACAGGTGTTGCCCCTCGAAAGTGAGCAACATGGCGCTAGGGTCTTACAAAGTCAGCACTTGGCGACTAATCTCAGCATTTGGACGAGTTACGCAGCGCACATTCCCACGACACGCGATGTGGACAGCGCGTAGCGGCAATCCAAATACGCGCGGTTGAGTTGAGTCGTTTACAAAATACGACCCCGCTCCACCTCGTTGATCTTTGCAACGGACGGTTGACTCTGGTTGCGACCTCAGCACGTCTTGCAGAATTCAAGCAGCGGCATCGTACGGCAATTTTTTTTTGATTCCACCGCGCGCCACGAGCGGAGAGTTTAGGCCGCGTTCGGCCAGTGTTCCTGTCTACATGGCCCTCCTCGACGTACACGTACACTTACTTGTCCTCTGATCGAAGAGACTGCATTTGTCATATGCGGGTGAGTAAACGTGAAGGCTGACGGCGTTTTCCGAATGGCTTGGATTTTCCATCCGATGGAGGCCAAGTTGATCTGAAAATTTCTCAATTTTTTCTCCAAATACTGTATGGCTTATGGAGATCGACAAGTCAAGTCAGCAGTATGAACTCCCACTGGAACTCACCGCTCATGTAGGTGACTTCATTCACCGCCACGTAGGATTCACCAGTTTTCACTAGTGGTTCTCCAGCGGTGTTCGCTTCTGGGAATGCAAACCTGGAAAGAAGATTGTTGGATCACATTCTAACACCCTTCTCGTCTGCCTGCTTATCGGCATTGTATTGAAAACGGTGGACTAAGCACTACAGGTTACAACCGATTATGAGTGAACGGCTCACTGGCAAGAGGTGCCCCACGGCTCTTTCTACCGGTGATCAAATCTCATTTATTCACATTAAACAGCACGTCAACATTCAACACACCAGTTACTGAACTGATATCAGGCTTTTTTGTGCGAGTCAAAACACGACTCAAAAGAGGATTCCACGATAAGGTCGAAGAAGGGGAAAGTTACCTAGTGGAAAGACAGGCGGAGCACCAAAAGGTGAGGACCGTCACGCCATTTGCAGCAAAAGTTATGCCCCAGCGATACATGGCCCTATCAGCGCAGCACGCCCAGCAACTGGCTTCGCAGCAGATCTCTAGCCATTTAACGGAGAGAGCGTTAGCATTGAAGAGGGTAGCGCCGAGCAAAAGAGGTCCCATTTCTTCACTTCTGAGCCATTCTTTATGACTTTTTCTTCATCCGTGGCGCCACTGACTACCTCTGCAATGACTTTATTAGGCTGCTTTTTGATCGTGAACTCCGCCGTAAAGGACGCAATCTATTCCTTCAACGCGGGTGGTGTCACTAAGTCCATTACGCCCTTCCCACTTGTGCATCCTCCTCGTGAGAATGAGAAATGCGTGATGGAAAGAAAATGGAAAGAAGGCAGCGGTCTAAGTCCCGGAGTGTGTAAATGGTACGTGACAAGCCAGATGTTGCCCAATGCATGCTTTTTTAAATTGTACGGACCTATTCCAGTACCCCGAACTCTGAACGGATTTCAATTCATGGAAGGTAACATAGGAAATCCTTTGCTCCAGAAAACTCGTCTTTTATCATTTCATTATGATCTCACTGAAACGCGGCAAAAAAAATACCGAAAAATCTCACCGGGTCTCCTTGAGTTGTCCTTCGAGCATCTTCACAAAACAGTGGGAACCGGAATGATCGTGGATGCTGAAACGATGATTCACACTTCGTTAAGCATCGCCTTCAATCAAAACCCACTCACTTCGTGCACATTCCTGGTCCCCAACAAAGAACGATCATGTTGTACTTTCCATTGCCAGTATCAACGAGATTACGGGTGTAGCTAAAATTGAAGAGAATGCAACGGTTATTCACAGTACTTGAATCTGTACCTATTTTTTCTTAATTATTGGATGTTATCATATGTTTTTAAGGGTAGGCGCAAATTACGGTCACAAGAGCGTGCCACTAACAGCTTTCAATTTTGAACAAGCAGCAATTTTTGGCAGTCATTCTAGGTATGTATTTTTTTGATAGATTAGTACTCAATCTTTGATTAAAGGAGTTTCCGTAGAAAGCTCCGCCTCCATTACCACAGAAAAACGATACCTTAGGCCCTAGCCTCATGAGCATAGCAAAAAGAACGGAACATAAGCGTTAGTTTCGATAATACTAATCCTACACACAAGACAAAATGATCACTCTTTCCGTGGAAGATTCCTTTAAGGTATCGTTTTCTGTGGTAATGAGGGCGGAGCTTTTTCCGTGGAAGATTCCTTTAAGTGACTAAAAATGTATCGAATACACCGGCGATGGCAATCTTCGAACTTTTTCGAGAACAAGTCATGTGCGTGTGCTCGATGTTTGCTGTTAATTGTGTTTACATTGAAAGACGATCAGGGTCTCAATGCTTCCGTCGACCAGCATTTACATGGCTCAAATAACTTTTTCCAGCAATCACTCTTTGCTTCGACGAACAATATTCGAGTGATTACGTTTATGAGAAGGGCTGGAATTCAGCCGCTCAGTCAGTCGTTTGTTCGCGGGAATTGCTATCGAACGCACTTCCTTGGGAAGTTTTTTTTTAGCAGCTATCTGGAGAGGAAGGCATTTACCTGTTTCGCGTTGATCGTCGATTTGCTCGAGCGGGCGCCAGCAACGTCTCCATTCGTCCCTGTCGCGTGCTAGAGTGGTCCAGTGGATCCTCCTTCGCTCGAGGGACACGAAGTCCATCATTCCTTTCGTTCAGAGAAGTCTGACCATCGGGCCGGCGGTCGTCCAGGTGTTCGTTTGACGTCCCGAGGGATCCAGTCGGTAACCGCTCTGGTCCAACGGTCATCGCAAAATCGCATGACGTGTCCGGCCCACCTTTCTATCAATATCCATCTTCATGACAATGCCTACCTTCAGCATTTTCATGCTTCTAAGAGGAAGGCTTAGAAGCATTAAAATGCCTAACTGTCAACCGATGCGAGCAAATTGAACTGATAGATGCTAAGACGATGTCGGTTCCGTGATGGACTCCTCGTATCAGTCGTTGCCCCTGGTAAGAAGATATCCACATTGGTTCTTTATGACCACTTAATCTTCGCTACCGTCATTTTTTCCACCCTGTGTATTTTTACATTTATAAAAAAAAGAGTTTGAGGGCTACTTGAGTACATTAAATCTTCCAATTTTGCCTAGATATGCTTTTCTATCAATTCTGTCAAAAGCAGCAGGAGCAATCACAAGTTTTCAGTTCTCAGTTTTCATTCACGTCGGAAATGATGGTTGCTCGGCCAATTTATGGAATTTCTAATCAGGTCAGAAAACTGAAAAATCAGGGAGTGCCTTGAAGCACTTGACGGCAGCGAAAGAAAAAAACTGATCAAGTCAACTTTCCCTTCGAAACATAACAACTGACTTCCTTTCGTCGAACATAGCGTACTGGGACCAGTCCTGTGGATCGCTTTTATATGATAGCAACGTCTTCTCCATGTCTTCAATATTAACGTGATCATCACGGAATATCGAGCGCATCTCACCGATTAGTGCTTGCATCTGTAATAGGCCGATATTTGCTTCGGTAAATAAAATATGGACTTCGATCATTATCAATAATATAGTAATGCTAGGAAAAGAGTAATGTGTCTACAAGATAAGACTTAAAGGCACATCCCGTGACTGCCAAAATCACACAAATCACTCTGCAAGCACTGATTACCTGGGCGAGCCTTCGCTCTTCACATTGATCAGCCCCTCATTACCGTAACAGCAGGAGAGAAAGAACAATGAAAAGGACGTCAGCGTGCAGTGAGCTTAAGGTGATGGTAAGTATTCATGGCCACTTTGTTTCCTTCTGATCCTTGCTTATCGACCACCTTCATTTGATAGCATTTTCAATCACTCTGTCCATTATGGGTCAACCGGCTGCTTTCTCTTTTGTTAGCAATAGCCCACAGCAAGCCAGTCGCAGAATGTGTACTCAAAAGTACGGTCCACTATTGTCCAGGAGTGCTTTTGTCGCTTAGGAAACCCACTGATGGGAGATGCGCCAAGTTGTGCGAAATACTGATTGGATCGAATGAGGTGAGATCACCTTGTATTGTCTAACCTGAACCGATACCTCAGATTATTATGCAACCTAGCACGAATTCCTTCTATTATGGTTCCGATCGCAACTCTAATGCTTCGAAGACACGAGAAAGAGAATTATTATTATTGACTAAATAAAGGTCAAAATGATCATGAAACTTTTAATGAAGACCTAGGTAAATGAAGGGAGCATGGAAAGCTGGTTTCATGGATGAAAACCACAACTGCAAGCGATGAGTATTTTCTCTTCATTTTTTTTTCAAAGATAAACCCAGTGAGGTATTACTTAGCCAGCCTTTGCAATTCCTATGGCACCAAGTCCATATTCGACCATCGTCAGACAATGAACAGGCCTACGTTGCGATGGTGGACAACACTGGTATAGTATGGTACGCCATTGTCCTGCGTGGTCACTTGCCTCAACAGTTACGTGCGCGATGGCAGGATAAGGGTTGGGTTGTAGAATTAGGGGATTCAACCATGCGTTACACGCTATCTATTACCTTTATAAAACCTCCGCTCACTGAGAATAATTATGAAAAATCGCATTGTTTACGGTTGGAAGTATGAAAGATGCCAAGATTTTTGTTAAGCCGAAAGGTTCAAAATTTTGGTTCAAATTTGCGACTTTATTACTAAAGTAATATTTAGGTACATGTGGAGGTAGCCACCATTATTCATGAGATAAGTACATCGAAACTTAACTATGCAAGCCCAGTAGTAACATATAGCATGGGTTTGTGAACTAACAAAGTACACATGTGATGTCGGTGAGTATACTTAATTTAGGTTCAAATTCCTGAAATTTGAAACCTATTCGAATGTGTGGTTTAGCCAAAAGAAAATTGAATGAGAGCTTCTCTCCTTCAATTAAGTTACACTCGTCTTTCTAAGAGGATTCGCTATAAAAACCTAGAAACCAGAGCTGTGAAAGGAAGACTGACTGGAAGACAGGAAGATCTGATTCTAAGCACGACAATTTCGGCTAGCACGACAAAGCGTCCGCCAAAGGATATCGCTTCGCGGGCTATGTGTTTCAAGCGATATTCCCGTTTTCAGAGGTGTCACGATCAGCAACATAGCGAGTTTCTCGTAGATAAATGACGCTAGCACGGAAGTTCGGCAACACTTATCCCTTTGTTTCTGCGAATCCGGTGAATCTTCAAAGCAAATGTTAACAGCAGCTTTGAAAAAAGATGTTGATGACAGAAGCCCAATACTATGAGAAAATGCATATTTTCAAATAAATTTACGGATTTCCAGACACCCTTTAGCATCTCACTGATCCCGTCCATCCTCAAGCAGTCCGGCTAACGACTACCATAACTGGTCACCATGAAAGCATTTTTTTCTCTAGTATCAAACATGGAAGGAAATATATATGTTATCAAAAATGTACGGCAGGGCGACCCATACGCTTAGATTTTTCCGATGAGGGAGCCATATTTGCGATTTTTAAACGGTTGTGGGGTCATATTCAGAGTTAAAAAAAGGGCTGTGGTGGTGAAATATTATGCTGGGATGGATCGAGATGTGTAGAATTTCCTGCTCCAGGAGTTGGCTCCTCTCTCCAGGAGGAGTTCTT